ACGATGACGATGACGATGGCTGCAATTTGTTGGGCAGATAATTGCAGCAGACACTTTGTGCAATCATTGCAAATGTTGCATGGTGACAATGTTGCATGCAATTGAAAATCAATTCGATGTGGCGATGCCACAGGAGTTACTCCCTCCCACCCTCATGGCGAGTTGAATTTCGCACAATTTTTGGGTTGGCAGCAAAAACCGCAAATTGCCATTAACGAAAATCTAATCATAACCGGAAATTAATTTGACAGGAATCTCATTAAATTTACAGCCCCACCAGAAGGACATATGGCAGCAGCTGTTGACGGGTCCTGGTATCCGAAAGCCTCGTACCCGTACCCCATGCCAAACCTACATAATTCTCCATCCGCAAATCCCCTTTTGCCAAAATCGTTTAAAGCTGCATTGCGTTGACATTGCATCTGCCAGCTGAGTATTTGAGTAATGAACGGGATTTCATTATAATATACAATTATTCCTGTTCGTAGTAAAATCAAATATATACATACAAGTTTTGGTGTTTATGCGATGCTAATGTTGTGAATTATGTTTTTAAAACAGAAATAGCTATAGATTTTAAATAAATTAAAAGGGTGTCTAAAAGTTTGTAATGCTAAAATTAGTTTAAATATATTATAAATTAATTTTAAATAAGAAAAACGCCTAAGAGATCTTATAAATCTTCAAATTTTAATTTAAAAGAGTTCATCTTCAGAGAACATTTGTTTATACTGCTAGATCTTACTTATTTATTAATTGCATTCAAAGCAATTAAACAATAAATAATCAAGAAATGGTCTCAAGCTGATTATGAGTTCAATGCAATTAAGAAAAATACAGTCAATATATTTGTATATATATTACAAGGCACATTATCATCTCAACTCACAGTATACATAGGTATATTTCCGAGAAATATTCCTCAACAATGATTCATTTACTCTGGGTCATTACTCCGTAAAATTATAAGATTTAATACTGATAATTAGATAATTATATTCTATGGAAATTATGATAAGATGAATTATAATTTGGACATAAAAATTATCTAACAAGTTTAATTGCTAGCTTAGCTACCAGCAGCTTTTTGCTTATTAGCTTAAATATTATAATTTTTTGTGACAATAATCATAAAAAATATAAATTTACAACTATTTATCTTAGCAAAATCTTCTTAAAGAAAATTCCCCAAAAAACTGATTATAGTTGAGTTCCGGTTAATTAACATGGACACCATTCCGCATAATCACCATGCTTGCGGCTCGTGTGATTATTCGGTGTTAATTCTCCCCCAGTTTGTGCTGACTATGAGCAACTGCCTCGTCTGGATATGCTCCTCTCCGGTCCTCTCTTGCCTCCGACACGACTGCCTTCTGTAATTTATTTCTGATTTCGGGTTTGCGCCATGCGTGGCTGAGCATTAGAGGCGCTTGCACATTTTGCCAGCACATAAATTAACATAAAGAGGCGTCGCAAAAGTGGGTGGGTGTGCGAGAGATCTTCACTCCCGTGACATCAGAGGGGGCACACACCTCCGGGGAGGGGTCCTTGCAGCGATTACGTGACATTGAACCGGAGCCAAGTTGGTTTTGGAGCTGGGACTGGGAATCGAGGCGGTAACTACTGCAGTACTGCTCAATCACAGACAAACTAGTCTGAGTCACCGTCTAATTTGGCAGGGGATCAGCTGGCTTGGCTAATCCCTTCGTGACATTCGACAATTGCGATTCGAGAGGTGAGTCCAGAGTCTGGTCACAAGTTTATATACATCCCAGTGGCATTGTGAACATTTCATTGTTGATTAAGCAAAAACTCTAAACAATAAATTGCTTTGTTGATTCTTTAGTTAATTTTAATAGCCGTCGGATGACTCAGGGGGGTCAAGTTGCTGACTTTCGCGGTTCGCTTGGAAAGTTAATTGCAAAATATTAAAAATAGTATACAAGTGTACAGTTTAATATGGACATGGGTACAACAATACCTTCAAGTTAAGATTATAATTTATAAAATATTTTTGGCACAAAAAATAAAAACCCTCATCTATTACCTTTTGATTACAAGAAAATATCGTTAAGAAATATAACATCAAATCATTTCCCTATACCTTATATTTATTTACAATCTGACTTGATCTTTAACCCATTACGTTTATTTTTAAAATAATTTAAGCAATGAATCCCCAACAAAAGTTGTAAAAAAACACTTCTCATTTACTGATTTTCCCCTCATTGAATTCGCAGTCACGTTACAGCGGAAAAGTTTTTGTGTAGATTCGTATAGATTTCCGTGGAAAGTAATTAATCATTTGGCTGAAAGCCAAACAGATGTTTCAATAAAAAAAAGCAAAACAACTTGGAACACGAGTTTGGCTGTCGTGTAACATTGCTCTATCTATTAAAATGTTTAGTTGCCCTAAAAAAAAAATAAAATACATCATTGCACTGTGAATAATAGCTTAGCATTTTAATAAATCTATTTACACTTCATTGTTTGTTTAAAGCCTTTGCATTTTATGTTCAACAGAAAATGCCCTAAAGCCACAAGCTGTCTCTTCAATTGTGTCAGAATAAATAAATATGTGGGATTAAATATGTGCAAGGTGACGAAAAGCCAAGAAAAACATTTGAAATAGTCATTTAAAGTTTATAGCACAAATTCCAAAAAACAATTCCATTTAATTCGCATAAGCTGTTGCTGTTCCTATTTCTTGTTTTTATTGCATTTACGAATCGTTCGTACAAAGTTTAATTGGCTTTGTTTCTTTTTCCCTATACAAAACCAAATATTAAAAATATTCAAGTTAAGTCAGTTTAAGTCGAAAGACCAAAATTGCGCATTTGATTTAGTAAGCAAAGTGTTTTGTATTTAAACAATTTGTTCCTTTAATTGACTTTCGGTTTTAAAGCCTTAATTGAATAAGCCCTGTCTGAAGTGGGGCTTAAACAAACAAAAAAATATGAGGGAGCCTGGATGAAAAATATATTTAAACTCTTTTCATTTAAAGAGCTTAGTTTGATTTAATAGAATTTCATTTAATAAATTTTTGACCACAACATTGCAATAAAACAAGATGCAATCTTATTTTTTATTGAATTAAAATATATAATATAATTAGTTCAAAAATTATTATTTGTTGTACCGACGACTGCCAATTAATTGCCACTTTCCCTGTTTTGTCAACAATTTTTCATAATCAGCTTAGGCCCCAAATAAATGAACTCACAATATTTCCACTTCATAGCAAATGCCAGTGATTTTGGGAGCTACCCCCTTCTCAGGCTCCCCTAAAATGCTAATTATCTGGCCATTCATCAAATAATTCCATGAAAATATTTGTAAAGGCCCAAAAAATTAACTTCAATTTGCATAAATAAATATCTCTCTAAATTAAGCAAATTGCATGCCAATTCAGCAGCAGCAACAAATCGCCAACAATGGAAAATAAAAATAATAATTTACCAATAATATAATAATAATTGTTTTGGGTTTTATTACTCCACATAAGACCAGCCAGAAAATAAAATAAAAAATATGTAAAAAAAAAAATGTGATTTATGTGCGCACATGCAATTGCAATTTGTTTTCGTGCCGAGAGAGAAGTTCCCTGGAAAAAGGCCTTAAACGCGAATTATGGCCATAATTAACCCAATTCTTTTGGCCATGGGACACTGACATGGTCTGTTCTCGTAAAAACCAAATTAAGAAAAATAAAAAAATAAAAAAACGAAGAAAGCAGGCAAGCAAAGAAAAATGCTCAAGAATTTCACTTGCAATCGGGCCGAGAAATGACGAGGAGAAAAAGTGCCCGAACTTGAGTGCATAAGACTCACACTTGAGTTCATTCAACCAACCTGGCTTTGGTTTGGTTGAAAAGCCGGCAATAAGATGAGGAACTAAATATTAATATTATTGAGTAGCTAAAAAAAAACACTTAAGGGTCTAACTATACAAATAATTCCAGTATTTCTACATTCCTAAATAATTAACTGTATTTTTATTCAAGTAATAAATTTCCATTCGAACAATGAACTATAAGAAATTATAATGAAATAGCATATTATTATTTTCATTTTATTCAATCTTTCTTCTTATAAATATTTAGTTTTACGTTTGTTAATTATTATTTATCAGCATATTGATTTAACTATTCATCCCTGATAAGTTAAGTAACAGAAAGCAAACCCCATTTTCCTATTTTCCCTCTTCCAAATATTTAAAGAACTCACTCCTAGGATAAATCTCAAGAAACCTTTGCCAAACAAAAAATACGAATTTACAAGAGTTGCATAAAATTTTCATATTCCTTAAAAATGATTTCGACTGCAGCGAATTTGACAACTTCAAGTGGCTGTGGCAGCTGCCACGCCCCCGCCCACAGCTGCCCATCAGCTGCAATTCACTGGCAGCGCAGCTTCTTCGGCAATTTATGCATTCAAGTGGCAGCGAACAGCAAACGCTGATGATGACAATAAGGATGCCGTCGCCGCCGCTCCTGGATCTTACAGATACACTGAATCTCAGATGCGGCGGAACGAAGACTCTCAGATATTTTGCCATTTGTAGTTACTTGTGTATCTGTATAAGATGCATTTGGCTGAATGTCAAGTGTCTTGCTTTGATATCTACCAGGCAGCCATCATTATCCGGCAAGGAAAGCCAACTTTAAGCTCTAAGACGACTTGGAATTATATTTTAAATACATTAATTGAGTAAATATTTCTTAAAGCTCGTTTATAATTATTATTTGCATTATTATGAAAATGTTTCCAATGATTTTTTGTTATCAAAAACCTGGATTAACACGGAAATACGGCTTCGGATGATACCGGACTGTTCCAGATCAGAATATATATTCAAATAAAAGTAAACACAAAAGAACGTTCTCGGACTTCCCCATCTCTTATCAAGCCTCCTTTGTCTATAAAGTCAAAAGGTCGCCGCCGCTTTCTTATGAATATTTTCATGCTAATTAATGACAGCACTTAAACTTTATAACTCACCTGGCAGGGTAAAGACTCCACTAAGGGCCAAAGTGATCACCAGCACACCGAACAACAGCTTCATTTTGATATTGATCTTTTTTTTAATTTACTTTTCACACACTTTTGTCTTTTTATTATTGTTATTATTTTTTGTCAATATTTAATTGTTGATTTAGGTTTATTTTTAGTGTAAATGTCGGCTAACTAGATTCGAGATTCTGTTCTGTGTGGAAAGGCAAACAATCGTCAAATGCGCTTAAATGATTTGAGGAAGCGGTAAATAAGCGGCGAACGAGACCCGGCTATGGAATCAGAAAGAGAGAGTGCTATAGCAGAGAAAGAGAGGGTGCGACTGGGGGAAAAGAGAGGGAGTGAGTGAGTAAATGAGTGACTGAGGGGCCTCAATGAGTGACACTCTCGCTCTCTCAATTAGTCGCTGGGTTTAAAAATATTCTAAATAGCTGTGGGAAGAACCCTTTGCTGCTGATGCAATATTTTGGGACACCACTGTGTTGGCCTGCAGCGTATGAGTAATATTTTTGTACCCTTTTTTAAAGAACAGATTTCCTATTTTAAGAAGCATTATTATGGTATTTTCTAGTGAATTAAGAGCTTATTAATAATCACAATTCTGAGGGATATAAACATAGCTAATTTCTTAGGTTTATTTAATATTTGAATATTATTTTTGTTATTTTATTACAACATTTATATATATTTTTTTTAACTTTCAAAATAATCTAAAGTGCTATTATTAGATATTTCTTGTTAATTAGTAACGCTATACGATTACTAATGATATAAGAATTTAAAAACTGATTTCTTCAAAACTTTCCTAATATTATTTTTTATAAAATATATTTTTATTTGATTCAAAAAGGGTATTCCAACTTCTATTTACCAACAGCTACCTGCATTATATATGTATATTGTCGGTACGATCAATTTACTTAGGTTAATCAGTTTGTGTCTACGCTTCGTTAGCTGCACGCTGGTTTCACAGTTTCTCCATTTACAATTATTTTTACTTCTACCTCTATAGTACGTGTCCCTGTCACAGTTGCTGAATGTTTTTCTATTCTCCACTTTATGGGCCATTCGTATTTTCAATTCCAAATCGGTTGCATTGAGTGGAATTATGTCAATTCGACGAATGATTAAATCACCTGTTGAGCGCACACGGGCTCAGTGTAGAGTTCAAGGTGGCGGCCGATTGTGTAAACAAACTTAACTCACTTGATTTGCCTATTACCCTTTCGGGAAATTTCTAAAAAAAATTGAAATTGAATAATATTCTAAACGGAGCTTACAAGTTAAGCTAGGAGAGGCTTCTTCTCTGTAATTAAATTGTTATGATAAAGTGCTTCTTTTTAATTCCACCCATAAATCAGTCACGCCTTGATTGAGTAGAGTTCAATCACGACTTGGCTTACGTTAATGTCAGAGATCAGCATTTTATGGGGAATTGTTATGGGATCTTCGATTATGAATGATCTTCTTAAAGCTAACTTCATGTAGGCCCTTTAATTATAATTGTGATTAATGAACTGCCTTATCGAATTTGTGTTGAATGAAATATCTAATTAATTTGAATTTGTATCTTATTTCTAATTTAATATTACTGTAAACAATTTATAGATCTGGTTTTTAATTACAACTCAAAGCTACCTGTTAAATTGTTTTTAATCAGCTTTAAAAAATTATAGGATTTAATTATACTTGTTATACAAAAAGATTCAAATGAATGGATGGATATTTTATTCCTTCCCTTTCCACACAGATTTCTTAAATATTTCATATTTTTAAAAATCCCATTTATAAAATTCTAGTTTCCTTATTCACACAAAATTTCTTTCACTAAACTTTTCCTTCAAAAGTTAAACACTTTTTTATTTAGTTTCAGTTTGTAAATATTTGTTCTCAAGGTCATAAAAATTGGCAACGTTTAACGCACTTTTTATCGCATTATTTTTATGGCACGAGAAATTTAGAAATCATTTGTTTATGCTTGGGCCAGCATAAAAGTGAGCACAAGTATATAGTATTTCGCAAAAATAACAACAGATGGGCGAGCAAATCAAGGGAGCCCGAATATGCTTTTAAATTGTTTGTTTATAAACAATTTTGTCAGCGCCAAAACGGAAATCGCTCAGGCACACACACAATAACCTCTTTTTTTTTCAATCACATACCGACACTCGCGAATTTGCATAAATTTTGGTTGTCATACAGTTATTTCTGTAGGTTAATAATTCCGCTTGGGGAAAGATCAAATGCGATCCGCACTGAACCCGCGATCTTTGGCGTGCGTTGGCTTTTGTGAGAAGTTTCGGACTAAACGGTTGCGTACGAATTTGGCTTCATTTATACCCACGCAAGTTTTCGACACAATAAAGAGAAACAGAGAAGAGACAGAGAGCAGAAGATGGTCAGGGAGAGTGGAAGAATCTCAGAGAAGAATTGATCTTTAAAAAAATATATATTAAGAATTTTTAAAATTTTTTTAATATAGTATTTAATAAAGATATCTCATTGAATGAATTATAAATATCATAAATATAATAATAAGAATTTAATTTTGAGGATATTTATAAGATCTTTATTATTTATTAGGAATTTTAAATCTCTAAAATTCTGCTGTGATAAAGAAAACCATTACTAGTGTCAATTTTAAGACATATATTCCCAATTATCTATCATATATTTTCAGGGTATTCAAAGGTATCATAAAGTAACTCAAAAAAAAGCCCCTTTCCATTGGGCAAAAGTGAATGTCGCTTCTGTGGGCCATCCCTTGACCAAAAGAGTTCGAGGTGCAGGAAAATCAGAAATTCAAAGCAACGAATAGCCACTGAAGAATGAGACGGATGCGGAGAATCAGAAAAAGGCGGCTATATTGACAGCGCAGCGACAAGGAACGCACGCCAAGCTACGTTCTTGGATTGACAATGAATACCATTCACCTGGCCCCCACCTGGCCCTCGGATCCCGGTTTCCCTTATACTATAGTAGCTCTTGCCCAGATCGGAATCTCGACAGCTGTTGGAATCTTCTGCTTTAGCCTCTGCCTTGTTTTCTACAACTTGTAATTCTTGTCATCGTCCCGCGAACCGGATTCTCGTTTAACTGCACTTTCGTTGGTTTTATTGAGGCGGGACTGCTATTTTTATATTACTAAATACAGGTTTGATTGCACTATGCCTTTAAGTGGGAAAAGAGCATTTAAAATAAATTGCCATTTTCGGTTAATTGTTGACACAACATTCTTGCGGTCAAAGCTGCGGCTTTAAAATAAAAAATTCCCCAAAAATGCGAGTTGTTAGTTGTCAAGGCTGTACATGGAGCAGAGATTTAGTCAGTTTTTTATTTCATTTAGGAGATTTAATTATAAATATTTAATTTGCAGATAATACCAATCATTTAACCCTTCTTTTTTCGGAACTTTTTAATTTGTAAGGAAAACATGACTATTAATTAGTTTTAAAACTTATTTATTTTATATTTCAAATGTACATTTTATTTTTCTTCTGATTTTATTTATATTTTCTCTAGCGTGTTCTTAACTTGTCATGGATCTTTTTCGATTTAAATATAGCCACATGTCATGGCATACAACCGCCCACAAATTATGACAAAACATGATGCTCTTGACCTTGACACTGTTGCGGAAAAGGGGGAACAATTTTCCTGGGATGAGTATATCTTAAATTAATTAAAAAGTTAGATATAAAATTAAAAATAAAAACTGATAGTAGCCAATATTAGAGAGTTTAAAGCGTTTTTAAGAGTTGTGCCTTAATATATTTATGTTAAAAGATGTAAACTATTTTTTAAAAATATTATTAATAGAAATTGACCTAAAATAAAAACTGCAACAAATAAAATAGAACATTTTTTGGTTAATTATTTAAATTTACACGTATGTAGGTTTTTATGTAAAATTTTCCAAAAAAAATAAAGGCGCCCTCTATGTTATACAGACCGCAAACTATTAACAGCACTGTTAATTTAGCAATGTTGCCAGGTGAATTTCTTGTAATGATGCCAGATAGTTTTTCAAATATTACCGTTGCCTTGGTGACGCTTTTCACTTGGATTTTCCCGTCAAAGGAATAAAAGAAAATAAGGAATAATAATCAAAACAAAAGCACAATGTTTCGCCGTGGAAAACTATCATTTTTGAATACCAAAGACGATCGCATTAAAATCATAAATGAACGTATATCGCTAACTGAACGCCATCTAATGGAAATGTGTTCATCCTTCGCTTTGGTGACAAGGAAAATGGCCAAGTAGGAAATATATACAAATATTTATATCTAAGCTGATGTAAATTTTCTTTTCAGATATCGTGACTCCTTCGATGAGCTAGCGAAGGGCGTCAAAAGTTATGCAGATGACGAGGAAATAAATGAAAGTCTGTGCCAAGGACTCAAAAGCTTCACAAATGCCGTGACCATAATGGGCGATTACATGGACATTAATGTCCATCGGGTGGAGCATAAGGTTTTAAAGATAAAGGGATAATATTTAATGTTTAGAAATATATCTTATCTAATATTCATCCTCAGATTGTCAACGAGTTGGCGCAATTCGAGCATCTGTGTAAATCCACGCGGGACAATCTACGACTGGCTGTCATAGCCAGGCATAAGGAAGTGCTACGTCAACGCCAGATGCTGGAGCTAAAATCCAAATTTTCCGCCAATAATGTAGGTCCAAAGATCTACAGAGTCTCCTATTTGTTATCTCCTACTTTCCTCCCGCAGAGTGCCGCCGATTCGGAGCTTTTTAAAGCCAAAATGGAGGTGCAGCGCACCAACAAGGAGATCGATGACATCATTGGAAACTTTGAACAGCGCAAGTTGGGCGATCTGAAGAGGATCCTCAGTGACTTTATCCTGATCTCCATGAAGCAACACACCAAAGCGCTGGAGGTCCTCAGTGCCAGCTATTACGATATCGGTAGCATCGATGAGCGTGAAGACTTTATGGAGTTTCAGAAGCTGATGAAGACCAAGGAGGCACCAACACCCCGCAAGGCGGCCCTCAAGAAGGGTCTGCGCTCACAGTCGATGGATAGCCTAGAGCACGAGCACCTGGTTAGTCCGTTGAAGAGGCGCCATAAATTGTCGAGGAGTAGCAAGAATCTGGCAGGAGCTGGAATAAACCATGGGGCTAGGACCGAGCCAGAAGAGGAGACCGACGAACAGGATGACGAGGACGATGAGGACGAGGTAAATAATAATATTTTGTTTTTAATTTATTTGTAATTCCTCTATGGTTCTTTTAGGATTCCGAACAGAGTGTCGAGGAGGAGGATGAAGAGGAGTCCGGCACCGCCACCGATGACGAAAGAGAGACCACAACCCAGCAGGCCACGCAGTTAACGCCCCGCGAGAATGTGTTTGGGGCCAAGACTCGATCTGCTGCCACAGCATCGACCAGCACCAGTGCCAGTGCTTCTATGAAACCGGCTAGGCAGACGGTGAAGCATCCTTTTAAGGCGGTGGCCTCCACGCATGTAAGGCTGCAAAAGCAGTTCCATGTGCCCCAGCACTAGCACACAACTTGAGAACACTACCAATGAACCAGAGATAACTAGACATAACATTATCACATTACAGTATTGCTGACTATCTGAGTCATACATAAACACATATCGGAACTATTTACATAGCTGTTTGCTGAACTGAATTATAAATTTAATGAGAGAACAAATATAGTTTAGCTTTCAAGTATATAGTAAGGCCAGAATTTAGCTTTTAAGACAGAATATTATGTTTGCTTTCGGATATTAAGGACAGGATTTAGGAGCTTTTGCTTTGCTTTATGACAAGACATCTAATCAAACAAATCCTAGGCTTGCATAAATTAATATACTCGATTAAAGTTTATAGTTTTAGAGTTTTACTTTAGTCTTCCATCCTCTTTTCAAGTGATTTTCCTTTAGTTTAAATGTCCATCAAAGCCTTAATCATGCTTAAAGTTTCCGTAAACCGAAGATATTGACTAATTTAATTTGCCCCTATATAAATAGATATATTTAACCTGACAATAGCTTAAAGACAACACTGATTTGCATACCCCCTCTTAATGGTCACGCCTCACGATTGCATTATTTGCTCCAAATAAACAAGAATAAATGTATGCATAGCATAACTAATCAAGCGGAAATGACATTATACTCCCACCCCTTTTCTCTTCTTTCCCCCAAAAAACCCCCTTCTCTGCAGGTGAGAAGGCGGAAATCGGAAGGCGGTCGCCAGGTAACCGTTGTTGAATCGAAGTCCTCGAAGTCGACCTCAAACCACCAAAACTAGGCACTTTTACAATTCTCAATATTTTGTTTTTAATACAATTTATAAATAGAAACTAAAAACGGCAATATTTCTAAATAATTCGCCCCTATGCTCACAAAAATATTACGTTACTTACAAATTATGATGATTCCCTCTCTGGAGGGGGGAAACTTAAAACTACGCAATAAACAGATGAGCAAATGTGTGTTTATGGAGCAACCGGGTGCCGGGGGAGATAAAATGAACATGCAAGTCTGGAATTGTAAATTTGATTCGTAGGTGACTGGGTGCCTAAGGTGCTTTCGATGTTTACTAATGGGAGGATTTGCATCTGCGATGCCCAGTGGATACTGGGCGTGGCTGTATGGAGGCTTTGCCGGCCCACAAACTACGGGTCTCATTTTTCCGGGCCTTGTCCCTCGATCCCGGCCTGATTCATCAGATCCGCAATGCTCTTCTCCAAGTCATCGATGCGGTTGCCCATGTCGTCGATGCGCGTTATTATCTGGTCGGACATCGTCTGGAACTTGTCCTGCACATTCTGCAACAGATTTTGTACCTGATAACAGGAGGCGTCGTCGGTTTACTGAGTGCTCTCATTACGGTCTCTACTTATAGGTGGTTTCCGCATCCGCATCCGTTGCCGGACTCGAACTCGGTTCGGGATTACTCACGTATATGGTCAGCTCCTGCATATTCTTGGGGTCGGCGTTGCTGTTCAGCGAGTAGTTCTGGTCCAGGTCGCTGTCCATCTCGTTGCGCAGATCCGTCATTGTTCTGAGGTTTCTTTACGGCTTTGTATAAAAGTAGAAAATGCTTATCGCTTATCGCTGTCAGTGGCTTTTCGCTTCTGTTTGCGGGTTGCCTTTAGTTTCCGGAAAATGAACAATTAAATTAATGTGGCTTCTGCGTTCATAATGCTAAAATTTGCCGAAAATAATATCAGATTTCTCCTTACCCGGCAGCTGGCCACACTAAATTCGCAAGAACGTAAGCGTATTATTCACGTAAGTGAACAACGTAATCTCTTCACGTTGCAAAATACTCGATAACAATTTAAATACTGTTAATCGAATAATGTTTTTTTGGATATAAATCCCAGTCTTGGTCCAGCCCAAAATCAGTTCATCTTAAAAGCACCAATATGAAGATCATCTTTTGTTGCTTGCTAATTTTTGCATTGACCATTGTTTATGCAAAGAGCATAGGTATTTGTACAACAAAGTAAAAAACACAATTTCAAAATAATCCGATTAACTTTTTTAAATAAAAGGCGATTTGCCCGCCCAGGAGCAGAAGGATGTTCAGACGAATGGAGATGTTAGCGCCGGCCAAGCCCAAGACGACAACCAAAGGAAATACCTCGAGGCCATGTTTAAAATACAACAAGCCAAAATAGCGCAGCAAATGTGGAGTATTTTTAATTCGAAATAACAGATTGCTGACTCAGACCGATAAGAGCATCTTGACGTATACCAAGGGGATCCCCACAGAAAATACTTCTTATCTTATATATTCTAAATGGTGCACCATTATATAATATTATGCCATACATAAAATATTTTTGCTTAATTACTTCTTTGTATTTGAAGTAATTTATTTGTGCAATAAATATATTAAAACAATCAGAAAGAAACTCTTATCTCTAGGCGGTAAAAAAAAAAGGCGGCTTAATAAATAATCAATCAATAAATATTCGATTAATTACTATCGATATTTGTCTGATCTATTCGATGCACAACACAAAGCAATTCAATGGCCAAGCAAAGGCAATTCATTTAAATAGAAAGAGCTTAAGCCTGAAGGTGAAATGTCGGACACAGAGAAGATGAGTGTGAACAAAAAGATGGAAGAAGTGAAGCAGGATGTGGAGCAGGATGAAGTGCAGCCTGAAGTGAAGCCGAGTGTGGAGCAGGATGAAGTGAAGCCAGATGTAAAGCAGGATCAAGTGAAGCCGGATGGGGTGAAGCCGAGTGTGGAGCAGGATAAAATGAAGCCAGATGTGGAGCAGGATAAAGTAAAGCCGGATGGGGAGCAGGGAAAGCACAACGAGCCGTCAACAAGCATTCCAGCAGTAAGCCCCGCCAGCACCAATCCCATAGATGACGAACTAAGGAAGTACCATGAGGCCATGTTTCAGCTTCATAAAGCCCGAATATGTATGAATATGTGGAATATTTACAATTCATACCATTAAGTGCATCTTCAATTATACCGAGGGGATGCCCACAGAAAATATTTCTAATCTTATATATTCTATTATCTATATATTCATATAATAGCACGGCATATACAAAATATTTTGCATAATCACCTTAACCTTAATTACTTGTTTGTATTGGAAGTAATTTTTTGGTGCAATAAAACTAAAAAGAACCGGAAAGACATTTTTATTTTTTGGCGGTAAAAAGGCTCCCTAAATAATCAATCAATAAATATTCGATAAATTACTATTTATATTTGTGCCGATCTATTCGATGTACTGATAGCAATTCATGGAAATCATTTAACATAAAGCGAACGATGTAAAAGGCGGATGCTAAGAAAATGAGTGTGTACAATAAGACGGATGTGGAACAGGGGAATCACATCATGCCATCAACAAACACCCCAGCAGTAATCTCCGTCACCCCGACCCCCAAGCTGACAACGAAAGGAAGATGCTTGAGATTTAGATTCATAATTCAATATATTGTACATATGTATGTATGTACATGACTAACCCTGATGAACTCATATTCGCGTGACTCCCCGACTGAACGTATTTCTTATCTACATAGAAAATTATACTGCATTTTGCTAAATAAATACAGTACCCACATAAAGATAGTCTGATTGTGTTTACACATGATGACTCTGTTTATTTTAATCTTTACAACTTTAAGGGGATTCCCGGAATTGTGTCTAATTTAAACACACACACACACAAAGCAATTGCACAGTCTGGCAACGCCAAGGCATGAGCGACTTGTGATCGATTTAAGTGTGACCAGCAGACGTGGAAGGTAAATCGATATCGACACCGATAGTACATCAATGTTTTTGCAGTGGTTTTTCGGCTGTTTATAAATTGTATTTCTAATTATGGCGGACCAGCTAAACAATGAGGTGAGTTAATTACACAACCTGTGCTTCCACCGTTGACTATTTCTCTTTCAAGGGCGGCCAGCCCACCCCGCTGATGTCTATACGGTTCGACCAGCAGCAGCCTGAAAATGCGGCGGCGGCGGCAGCGGCAGCAGCCAATGGGAATGGGAATGGAAGTGCCCCCGGCGAAGCCGCCGAGGACAATAATGAGGATGCTGAGAAATCTGCCGCCGAACTGGTGCTGCCCAAGGCCCTGGAGGACGTACTAGCGTTAAAGGATCAACGGGCGGCCGAGTTCACTGTCGACGGCGATTCGCAGGGCGGCAGCGGCGGAGGCGCCACGCAGGATGGCGAGGATGCCGATGTGGGAGAAGATAGCGATGATGATGCGGAGAACCATGTGAATGGTGGTGGTGGGGAAAAGCCTGGTAAGCAGAGCAAGGCGGAGAAGAACAAAAAGAAGAAGAAGCGCAAGAAGCAGAACAAGAAGGTTCGACAGCAGCTGGAGTATGAGCGCCAGCAGCAGTTGGCCCAGTTGGCGGATGAGCAGGAAGCCGCTGAGCAGCAGAACGAAGAGGCCAAAGCCCCAGGCAGCGAAGATGAACAGCCGGCGGAGAAGGACAAGGACAAGCACAAAGACAATCGCAGCAGGAAAAAGAAGGATCGCCATGAAGAGAAAGAAAAGGACAAAAAGACGGCGGATGCTGCCGAAGATGATGTGACCATCGAGTAAGTTGAAAAATTGGGTCAACTCTTTCCAACTCTCATATTTCACTATCCCCCACCCAGATATGTCCCCGAAAAGATCACCATTGCCGATCTGGCACCCATGTATCGGCAGTTCTACCGAGTCTTCGAAATCTTTAAGCTCGAGAACAAGCCGAAGCCTGCGGAAAAGGATAAAACTTCCCAGGACTCCGATACCCAGGCAAAGGACAAAAAAGCCGCCGACAAACTCAACGATGACGAGGATGATGACGTCGACGAGGACGAAGAACACAAGGACGACAAGGAGAAGCTGTCCAAGCGAAAGCTTAAGAAACTGACCCGCCTGAGTGTGGCAGAGTTGAAGCAGTTGGTTTCGCGACCCGATGTCGTTGAGATGCACGACGTAACGGCACGGGATCCCAAGTTGCTGGTCCAGCTGAAGGCCTATAGGAACACAGTGCAAGTGCCCCGTCATTGGTGCTTCAAGCGCAAGTATCTGCAGGGCAAGAGGGGTATCGAGAAGCCACCATTCGATTTGCCCGCATTCATCAAGAAGACTGGGATCATGGAGATGCGCGAGTCGCTGCAAGAGCGCGAGGATGCCAAGACCCTCAAGGCCAAGATGCGTGAACGCGTCCGTCCCAAGATGGGCAAGATCGATATTGACTACCAAAAGCTACACGACGCCTTCTTCAAGTGGCAGACCAAGCCGCGCATGACTATCCACGGCGATCTCTACTACGAGGGCAAGGAGTTCGAGACCCGCCTCAAGGAAAAGAAGCCAGGAGATCTTTCCGAAGAGCTGCGCATCGCCCTCGGCATGCCCGTGGGCCCCAACTCGCACAAGATTCCGCCTCCGTGGCTGATTGCCCAACAGCGCTATGGGCCGCCGCCTTCTTATCCGAATCTAAAAATTCCCGGCTTAAATGCTCCCATCCCGGAGGGCACCTCGTTCGGTTATCATGCCGGTGGCTGGGGCAAGCCGCCAGTGGATGAGAACGGAAAGCCGCTATACGGCGATGTGTTTGGAACCAACATATTGGACTTGGACGTAAGCATCAGTACCCCCAAAGGTGGCAATTAATATACTACATTTGGTAAATCGTTTTCAGAATGGCATCGATGAGGCTGACATCGAGCGCAATCAATGGGGCGAGCTGGAATCCGAGTCGGAAGAGTCTTCCGAAGAGGAGGAGGAGGACGGCGAGGATCTCGGCGATCAGCAGGATGAAACCGGCTTGGTCACGCCTGTTGAGGGCCTCGTTACACCCTCAGGGCTTACCAGCGTCCCTGCTGGCATGGAAACCCCCGAGAACATTGAGCTGCGCAAGAAGAAAATCGAAGCCGAGATGGAGGAGTAAGTGGATTAGAATCCCCAAGATAATAACCCATTTAACCGATATATTCTCCCCCCATAAAGCAATGAAACCCCAGTTCTGTACCAAGTTTTGCCTGAGAAGCGCACGGACCGCATAGGCGCCTCCATGATGGGCTCTACGCATGTCTACGATGTCAGCGGCGGCGGTGCGGCCAACAAGCAGCCACCAGTTCGGTCCACCACAGATCGTGAGGGCATTGTGGAACTGGCGCTAGATCCCAGCGAATTGGACATGGACAACGATGCTATGGCCCAGCGTTATGAGCAACAGATGCGGGAGCAGCAGAATCACCTGCAAAAGGAAGATCTGTCCGATATGTTGGCCGAACATGTGGCCCGTCAAAAATCAAAACGCAAGCGACAACAAACGGATCCGGCCAAGACCACAAAGAAGTACAAGGAGTTCAAGTTTTAGTCTTACGTCAAGAAAGAAACTAATTTTCCAATTTTGTGCGTTTTAAGTCGAGAATGTCATTAAACATAGTAAAAAAAATCATGTCTAGGTTCGTTTTTTTATAAGAACAGAAACAGAAAAAGTGTCCTGAAGACCGATTTATGGATTGATGTTTCAACACTGCGTTGCATCCGTATTTTGTTCTGGCTAAAATTATATTATACCCTCGCAAATCATTGAGTGAAAAACAGATTTTGGTTTACTTAACACTTAGTTTTATATTTAGATGTCAGCTCCAATTGAATATGCCAATGCATCAATCGATACAGATCTGTATGTACTTATGTAAATTCTCTTTCATTTATTATACTGCAGAGACTCAAAATCCTGTTCCTTTTTATAATTTAAAACTGACTTTTTAGCTTTAATTCTCATTTACACGATTGAACTTATAGAAACTAAGAAATTACATTAGAGTTTTGCTGCGCGGCTTGTGCCAGGCCAGGGGTGGATCTTAACATGGCTAGGCGGAGTGGCTAAGCAGTGGACTTTTCGGGGCTGCTGAGTACTGAGGTGACCCGCTGCTGATGCTGCCTCTGCTGGCTTATTTATCTCTTTTAGCTGGAGCTGGAGGGCAACACACGCTGTCTATGTCGGCGGAGGCTCAATGCCTGCCCCCCGCTTGGTCACTCGTCCAGCTGCTCGCTCAGTTGGGCCAGCAGGGCAGCTCGCTTTGATTCCAGCTCGCCGTCACTTAACGTGAGCTCTTCGTTGCGCGATCCCGCCGATTCCATGGACTGGGCGGGACTGAGGGGCGTGGTGGAGCGATTGTTGTGTCGGTTATGCCGCTTGCCATCTTTATCCTTCTTGCTTCGCTTCTCCTTCTTCTTCTTTTTGGCCGGCGAGTGTGAGTTGGAGTCGTTCTGCAGGAGGGCCTGTGTGCCGGGTGTTAGATTGCCAGCAATATCCGACTCGCAGGAGGACTGAAACGAAACTCAATGTTAGGATATTTTCCTCAACAAGAATGCTTGCCTACGTACGCCTCGCAGTTTGTTCTTGCGCTTCTTTTTCTTCTTCAGCAGTTTTTCGCTGTCGATGCTGCCAATCGAGCTAAGGGAATGCTGTGGGCAAGACACACGATTAGCTTAGAGGATTAATAGCAAAAGAAGAAGAAGGATCTTTAGCTTACCGATCGCGACTTGGAGCGTCTTCGCTTTGACTTCAGACCCTCAACCAGCTCGTTCTCAATGTCTGACCGCGACGTGGACCGCAATCGTTTCTTGTGCTTCTTGTTTTTCTTCGATTTCCGTGATCGCGAGTGATGATGGCTGCACGCATCCTCGCTCTCCTTGATAAAGTCCTCCCAAATCTTCTCCACACCGATTTCCTTTTCGTATACCGCAAACGCCTCCAGGTGCTCCACCAGCTTCTTGGCACTTTCATACGATTCGGCCACCGAAACGTTAGCCTCCAGCCACTCGTTCTTGATCTCATTCTCCAGTTTTCGTAGCCGACGCACCTCCTCCTTCATGCGCTCCTTTTCAATGGCCTCCGCCTGGAAAACGAGATAACATAAGCAATAAATGGATAGAGGATTATCTTTAAATTATTACCTTATCCAGCAGGGAGTTGTAGGTGAGCTTAACGTTGCCCGCATCCAGGCTGGCCGACCGCTTATCCTCACACACAACCGTCGCAAAGTCCTCGAAGGAGGTCTTCGCTTGAACCACGAATGTCTTCTCCTTGAGGATCTCTCGTATGATCTTCTTTTCGTCATGGAAACGAGCTTTCAGGTTCTCGACATAAAACTTGAACAAATCTAAAGGCGTGGACCCGCTCTGGCCCAGCATGGCGGAGAACCGAAGATCGGCGGATATGATGGGATAGAGCTCCACCCACAGCGACATGGAGGTGAGCTTGCCCTCTTCGTGCAGCGAGTCCAGGAGCGCGAGAAATGAGTCCCTGTTCTTGCGCTGCTGCCGCTTCATTCGCTTCTTTTCCCGCTCGCGTTCCTCGTCCTCCTCCTTCTCCAGGGTGCGTATGTGCTCCTCGAACACAATGAGGGCATCTTCCTTGTCCATTCCCAGCAGGGTAACGTCGTTCTTGAAGGCGGCATTGTCCAGCAGCATGACCTGAGCTTCCGACCAGGTGGTAGCATGGTTTATGGACGTCATCGATTCTAGCAGCTCGCCGAGAACCTTCATGTTCCGCTTCTTTAATAGCCGCGCCTCCTCCTTCTCGCGTTTGGCTAAATTAAATATGCAATCCTCGTATATATCCCGCCGATCCGCCTCCGGCACCACCGTCCATGCCCGAGTTCCGGCAAACACTTCTTCGCAGCGAAAGAACTTCATCTGCGAGTTCATTTTATCGCTGGACATGAGGAACTGCTCCAGGTCCTCCTTCGCCTTCTTGGCCTTCAGGCGCGACTCCTCCCGCTCGTCCTTCAGCTTCTGGGTCTTGTAGGCATTGAAGGTCTGCTTGCGTTCGTTCAGGTTCTTGAAGGCAGCATAGCGGGGGTCCTTTGATATGATCTTTACACACTGATCCCAGTTGGAGTTCGAGGGCACATTGCGGTCCCTCAACAGCTCCTTGAACGCCTCGATGGCCTCGCGCTTGTCCTTGAACACCACATTGCCATCCGACTTGTCATCCTTTTTGGCTAAAAGCAAATGTGGGGTGTTAGTGTTAGTGACTTGGAAGCATTTGAGCCGAACTTACCATTCTGTTGGGGCACCTCGATAGACGCCAAAGTGGCCGCCATTGCCTGGTCCATGGCAGAAGAAGAGTTCTCGTTGCTGCTCGGCGTTAGGGGCGAGTGAATCTCGGGCGTGGGTATCCTGGGGGCTGCGGGCAACGCCGCTGGAAGAATATTGGCCAGAGCAGCGTGTGGTACCATGCCCGCCAAACTGGAGGAGGTCATGGCCGCCACGGCCTTCGCGGCAGCAGCCGCTCTGCAATAAAGATAAAGTAACTCTAAATATGATTTCACCACTTTTTCTGTGATTCACTTACTCTTCCGCCTTCGCCTTGGCCTTCATGTCCACGTACTCCGGCGGCGGCTCCCAACAGGTCTCCTTGGTGGCCACGTTGTGGTAGTAGACCTTTCCCGTGTCCGAGCGGTACTCCTTCCAGGGGCACTGGTTATGCAGCAGCTCGGCGGGCGTCATCAGAGCCTCGGGCTTCTCCCACGAGCTCTGCTTGGTGTTCTGGTTGTAGTAGTATGGCCTTCCGTCCGGCGCCTTGTGCTCCGTCCACTCCGTGCTGGTAGCCATCACGCCGAATGCTGCTGCCAACTCTGGCGGGGGCGGGGCAGCGAATCCGGGCGGCGGAAACTGTGGCACTATGGCAGTCGGCGGCGTGTATCCCATGCCCCTGCCGCCCGGCGGCGCTCCTCCATTGCCAACGCTAGGAGGAACATTCATTTCACTATTTTGCTATATGGTTAGGGGGTGAAAGCGTGGCTACGTCTACCGGTCGTTGCGTGCGCCGGCCAATACACGATAATTGAAAAAATTTGGAAAATTCTCAATGCCGCTTTTGGCCAGTGTGCCCGTTGCTTGAATACTGCAAAAATGCACCGCATTTTAATGCGGGGCTGCCGCCTTTTTGCAAATTCTGTTGAATGGGGCTGTCCACCTATTCCGGACAGAGCGTACTACTATTTACATATTTATTATACATTTATTTTACATATTATGGACTAGTTACCCCCATCTAGTCACTATACTCTTACTATAAATTAGATAAATTCTTCATAAAAAATATAAATTTTTAATCAATTATTTATAAATATTTAAGCCTTAAAGCCTTAAATTGGGCTTGAATGCTCTGAAAAGTTACCTAGGTAATTACAAACTTCATCCTGTAGATCTGGAGGAAAGTAGTAACTTACGTTAACGTTAATTAATTTATTACTTGTAAAATTGTGTCTTGGTGCTGCGTAGGACCTTAATTTGCGGCTTTTCCGTGGCGCAACTTGGTCACACTGTTCAACAATTGTTGTGGTCTGATTTTTTGCAAAGCCCGCATTGGTAAACATTTTTTCCCCGAGAAAAGGAGTTCTTATCAGTAAGCGGTGTTTACTTGAACAACGGCAGCGATGACGGAGTAACCGCCCCTCACAGTGAGTGACTTCAGCACGTGGTCAGCGACTGTCGGCCAGTAAAGCTTTCGGTATCGTCTTATCGTAGATCGCCTCGCCATGATCCTGCGCGTGCCCATGTTGCTGGCGCGCTTTCTGCACAATGGAAGACTGCGCCTGCTGTTCTTAATCCTGATCGCACTGCTCATCTTAGGCATTACGTTTACCTACAACTGGACAAATGAGAACCAGCTATGTTTCATGGACACAAAGGGAATGGCGACCCAGTCGCCGGGCGGAGACTTGGAAGCCACTCCGCTGGAGGATGTGTTGCTGGCAGAGCCGAAGCCCGTGCCCGGACGCAGCATCTTCTTTCACGAGACCAGCTGCCAGCAGACCGAGAAAAGGCGGTACAAGCTAATGGAGCTCACCGCCCGCCAGGCCTGCGCAATCGAGTCCGCGGCGTTGCATAATCCGAATTTCCAGGTGTTTGTCTTGTTCGCCGGCCCCACATATCGAATCTCAAGCAACAATAGCAATTCGCAGCCATTGGTTGAAGCCATCTTAAGCTACAGCAATGTGCATTTGCGACGACTGAATCTCTGGAGCTACGCTGCCGGCACACCCATCGAGGAGTGGCTCAAGGACGGGAGCTTGTTTCTCTCAAGGTTAGTTGCAAGAATTCTCCTAGACATACTGTCTACATCGACTTTTCCCCTTTCCAGCTATCTGTTCTCGCACATTTCGGATTTCCTGCGTTACCTCACGCTCTATCGCTACGGTGGTCTCTATCTAGACATGGATGTGGTGGTGCTGCGCAACATGGAGGAGGTTCCGCCGAACTACACAGGTGCCGAGTCCAATACTCACTTGGCGGCGGGTGTGATGAGCCTGGCGGCCACAGGTTTTGGCCATGAGATCGCCGAGTCGTGCTTGCGTGACTTGCAGCTCAACTTTGACGGCAAGGATTGGGGCAACAACGGACCCGGAGTAATAACTCGTGTGGCTCAAAAAATCTGCGGCACGAAAGACATACAAGTGATGCAGGAGGACCACAAGCGCTGCCTGGGATTCAAGGTATTCGGACGTGGTGCCTTCTATGCGGTGCCATGGAAACAGTGGCGAGACTTCTTCGAGCCCGAAAAGTTGCCGCAGACAATGGCCCTCACCAAGGACTCCTATGTGGTGCACGTGTGGAACAAGCATTCGAGCACGCTGAAGATCAAGCGCGGCACAAAAAGCGCCTACGCCAAGTACGCCGAACAAAACTGCCCGCGGGCCTATAAGGCATCGGGCGAGTATTTTTAGAATAATCATAGTCCAGTGGTTTTCATCCGCTGATTACCAAAGAATCATAATTGCCTGCACATGGCTTCTTTTTTAAATTAGGTTTCAGACTTATTTCTTCTTGTTTTGCCTTTTTTTTTGCATTCCAAGCGATAAGCAGCTCGCACAAAGCGCATTTAACAGCACAGAGTTCTCGAACTCGACTCAGTCAAATGAAGCTTTTATTTACTCTTCTTTCGTCTGATAGCACAACACATCACAAACTGATTGGTAGTCATTTCACTCGATAAGATAAGAATCTAATAAGGGAAAAAAACGATCAAATGAAAACAAAAATCTCATCCAGCAAACTATCAAAATTAACATAAGCTTACTACCAATATTAAAACGTCTTAGAGTACTCCTATTATTCTCCGTGCGCTTGTTTACAGGTGTTGCGAGTCCGACTCATAAATGTATTCCTAGTTAGACTCGAATAAGTTAAAGGGAAACTTTCCAATATCATCGAAGAAATGTATATAATGAAGTATTTTTTGAGAAATATTTAACGGTGCATCACTAGGGTGAATGAATACTAACCCAGTCTTTATATAGACTTTAAGTTTATAATCCATCCCTCAGATATGTTTTGTAAAAGCTTGTTTCCAAAAAACAAATAAAATTAGCATAAGGCTGGTGTATAAATAAATAATTTGGATACAGAGAATGCATTTTTAGGGGGTTAATTCGGTGCAAAACGCCCCACTTTTCAACAAAATGTTGTGGCGAAACGGCTAAAGTAAGCCTAATGAATTAAATAACATTTAAACTATTTTTTATATTTAAATTGTATTAAAAAATATTTAAAGCTCTAAAAGAGTAATGGGGAATTTCCTCAGGACCCTAAAAAAACCAAATATTCTACAATAGCTAAAAGATTATACTTACGAAAAAAATTTAGATTTTTGTTTACCTTTACAAGGGAATACCCCCATATCATTTAAATATGAGCACAATTTCTATTCTCACTTTATTTTCTAAAACGAAACGATTGTCAACTACATGCATTGCACTTGGGAGAAACGCAAACAGGCTCCCACATTGTCCTCGGCATTCGCCTTGCCTGCACCCAGACCGTTGCCAAAATGAACGCCTATGTAGAACGGAGTCACTGTGCTCTCGATGCGGCATGGCCAGGCACCCGAGGAGCAGAACTGGGCACCGCAATGGATAGGCTCGCAGCCGGGCAGCGGACCCAGCCCCGTACCAATGAAATCCTCAATGATGCACGGCATCGTTATCCTGTCCGAACAGGTGCTAAAGAACTGGCGGGCCTGGCGTCGTCGTCGCCGGCGCAACTGCAAATCGAAGGCGTTGCGAATGAAGCCCAGGATATCGAAGCCACCACTCACCGGACGAGGACGTCGCGAAACGCCCGGTTCCTCGGTTGTGGGTGGACTTCGGAAGAATAGGAAACCACCATCGTCGTCGTCATCGCCAGCTGCCCCGTCCTCGCCACCCGAGCCTTCCACATCGTCGCTGGCCGGCGAGGATGGTGGTGCTTCCGAGGATGTAGAAGCCACTGTGCTGGAACGAAGTGGTGTTGCTGTGGTTGATGTTGTCGTTGTGCTCATTGCGGCCGTACTGCTGCTGCTGCTGGCGGCGGTGGCGGTGGCGGGTGAAGATGCAGCTGAACTGGCATTACCCGACATCATGGTCATCAGACTGGAGGTTGTGGAGTTGGCCATATTGGCCAGCATCTGCATCAGTGTACTGGAAGTTGGTGCTGCTGTGGTCATTGCACCATTAACTACTGCTGCCGCCGGAGTGCTCGCAGCCTCCGATTGTGCGAGCTGTGCAGGAGCCGAGGTAGCTGCTCCTCCCTGTGCTCCCGCTAATCCTTCACCAGTTCGCGTGGCCATTCTTCCGCCACCGCCAATACGAAAGGATTGCTCATCGCACGGCTGGTACATGATCGAGCACATATCCAGCTCCTGGCGAATACAAATCCTGTAGTTCTGATTGGCCAGGTGCCGGCCATTTTCGGCATAATTAAAGGTCTGCATGACGCCCTCAGACCCTGTGTGATATTGCAGGCAACCGGCCGGAGCTCGTTGACTAAACGGAATCTGTGTTACGCTCATCTCCCAAATTCGAAGGGGAAGAAAACGACTGGATAGATTGAGATTGATGTCCACAAAGCGATCTCCCCCCGTTGAAGTGGCGTTGGCTGAGGTGCTATTAGCTCCGCCCACGGGACGAAGACTACCGTACAAAGTGGATTGTCGTGGAGAGACCCGAGCTCCGACATCGTAGTACACTGAAAAATGGGGGGTTCCATTAAATATTGGAATATATAATCAGACCCCTTATCTCACAAACTTACAATGCTGTCCACTGTTCTGGCCACAAATTGAGATATTTCCACCGGGTCCTCCGCCTATATTGAAAACATCCCCCTCGCAGACCCCAGTCCTGCGATTGGGCTGACCCAATGTGAAGTGATGGAAGTCGATCCGCACCTGGCTTATGTCATCGCTCATCATCTTCACCCGCAAGCGGCAGCCGGTAAAGTTGCTGGGCATAAAGCTGGGGAATCCCGGCGACACAATATAGGTGATATTGTTGGCGATGGTGGTGTTGCAGCTGGCTAGAAATACGCAACAGACCCCGAATCCCATGGCGCACTCACCGCGCGCCTGGCCGTCCTTCTGCCGGCACTCGTAGGCATTGAGGCAATTGCCCATGCGACGACCATCGTTGGACATACAGTCACCATCGACGGGCACTGGGAATAGGTGGATCACTGGTGTGGCGAAAGGGTAAAATGGTTATATTTATTGTTTTATAAGTATTTCGAGTGGCTGCTTACCTTTTCCCTCTCTGCTGATTGTCTGATTCCATCTCCCCTCAGAGATGTCTGGATGATGGTGCATCTCCAGCTCCTGCTGTGCTTCCGTTTGCAGCTCAAAGTCCCCCTCATTGCTAAGTAACGCCTCCTCCCGTTCACCGGACTCCACCAAGTGATCGTCCCAAATATCGTAATGATGCATGGGTGGCCAGGCCGTTGTCTCGTTGGAGCGGACTGGCGTAGTCAGGCTCAACTGGAAGATCATCAGTATGCAAAGTGCACCGAGGAGTGAGAAAGGTAGCGGGGCATGGAGGTGGACATGGCCAGTAGAACGGTCGCTGCAACCGGCTCCAATAACTTTCTTTTTTCTCGCCCCGCTCCTCGCTCTGAACCTGATGCTTTTGTTGGTTATTCCGATCCAGCGTCGTAATAGCGCGGCTGCATTGCATTTGGATTCGGAGTTGGACTGGTTGGCATATTCATGGCTCGACGACAGCATTTTTATGGCTTCCATGTCCATGTCCGTATCCATGCCACAACTCCTTCTACTTCGTCGTTTTCAGCGCACTCCGATTATTTTTTTCGCGCGTGCGTTTAGCTGCGATGTTGGTTGAAAAGTGCGCCCGTCTCCATCTTCCGAGATGCGCGGATGCTGCTGGATCTTACTCAGAGTCAGACTCTGACTCTGCTGACTTAGCGGTTGTGTCTGGAACTGCTTTTCCCAGTCGTTTCTCTCCAATAATCTCCGTTTATTTGCTATTTTCGGCGGTGTAATGTTCCATTTAGACGGGGCTCTGATTGCGGGGAGAACCCAAAGTGTGTCAAGTATTGAGAGCAAACTTCCCACATTTCAGATGAAAGAGTATAAATTAATTCTAAAAAAAATATGTTTAACAAGTACATACATATGTAAAATTATATAAATTGTTATATAAAATGATTTTTAAAATAATTTTAAGTTTAATTTCTAGTTGATGAAATAATTGATTTTTTTTATGAAGTTATATCTTTCTTATAATTTAATTTGAAACTCAGTTTCCTCTCACATTAAGTTGTTCTTCAATTTTTTCACACGCTCTCCAACTGATTCTTATCCCGCTTAAGCCAATCCTCACCAGCGAAAATAAAAATAAAATAAAATGAAAATAAACCCAAGGAAAGGTTGCATATTTAATGGCAGTAAATTTAAAACTCACATGCTCGCGCTTCAAAGCTCTGAGGCGCAACCGAGGCATCCGCGGACAATGAATGAATGAAATACTTGAAGACGAATTTTTTACACAGTTCACAATGGTATATTTCCTTAAGAATTAGGATCCCTTTTAAGGATACAAAATTGAAGAAATGTCCTTAGAGAATTCTAGAGAACTGCTGTGAGCTTTTAAACTTCAAATAAATCATTTTTAGAAGTGAATAGCGAAACTTATTATTATTATTAAGTCATGGTTGACCAAAAAACATTCAAACCCGAGTCTTATATATTGCCTAATGGATTTTATCCTCCTAAAAACTCTCAAAATAAAACCAAAAAAACAAGCAATACTTATTAATATATGCAAATAAACATTAGCCTTTCCAGCTTTCTCTTGAAATGAAAATACCCCATGCGAGAGGGTATACGAATCGAGAACAACAACACCAGAGAACAGCCAAAAGTGGGTTGGCTTGCAGTTTGTGTGTGCAATTTCTTGCTGCATCATCCTGTCCCAGAAGCGGCGATCTTTCTGAATGAATGTGATATGGGCAAATTGGCCAAGAAAAATCAGGTTAAACAGCTCTGCGGTAATTTACGTTTGTCTCGAAAAAAAGCAACACACGAATGTATGTGAGTAGGTAAGCGATCATGTAAGGTCCGTCCAGCAAAGCGTAGAAAGCGCAGCAACAACAAAGGCGTGTAATGCGCTTAGCGAGATCTATTACAGAATAAAGATATTTCCTCGGAGCCAGTGTGTGTGTGTGTAGCAGTGAATCAGCGTTCTACATTTCGATATATCCCACGAATCACAACCAATCAAAAAAAGCATCTTTAATGAGTTTTTGGAAATATTTGTTGCATTGTATATTTCGAGTTAGCAAATTTTTCATTGAAAGTTGTTGACCTCTTGGCATATTCAAAAATAACAGTCAAAGTTTATAATAGGTAAAATAAAATAATGATGAGTATACCCCATCAACTGATCCGTAGAGCTACAAACTAATTAAAAAGAGTGATCATCCAATAAAAAAAAAATACGATCCAAATCGAAAATAAACAACAATTGCGTTGATTATTTGATTTTCGTGGAGTCATCGGGCTACTGCTATCGATTCGCATCCAAATCGTACAGCTTTAAGACCAGTTAAAGCTCGACTTGGAAGCTGAATTGCAACATACAAATATGTATAAAGGGGCGTAGTTAAATTCAAATAGGTTAGGTGTTTAAGGATGTTTTCTAAATAAAATAATCGCCTTCTTTTCCCATATAAATCAGTTGCTGGAGCATGCCAAATATTATTTGAGTATTCTTGCGCCTTGTTGCTGGTAGCTTTAGCTTAAGCTTAGGTTGTGGTTTGAGCTTTGTACAATGTTTAGGGTTAAATATTACGGCATAAGTTAGCATTAAACATTAGAGTCTAGGTGTTAGCCCGGTTTAGGTTGCATCTCTATATATTTGCTCGTTCGCTTAGAGCGGCTCCAGTGCCGCTGGTCCGTGGGGACTGCCCTCTAGCTTGCGCCACACCACGTTGCACATCTCCCGCACCAGCGCCTTCTCCCCATCATCCATCTGGTCGAGGGCACTGCCGGCCAAGTTGCCCAGACGATCGCGTTCCAGCTGTTCCCGTACCTCGAGGACCTGCAGGGCACGCACTACGGCTTCCGGGCGTCCGGCAATCGGTTCTGGCAGTTGGATAGCCGCAGCTGCTGCCGCTGCAGCGGCCACAATGTCCTGCTGTTGCTGCTGGGTCTGTTGCGGATGCTGATGCTGTGGCTGCTGCTGGTGGTGGTGCGGCGAGGGTGCTGATTTGGCTGGTGCTGTTGGTGTTGGCGTTGCTGCAGACGTGCCCATCGGCGTGGGCGTATTCTGTGGCGTGGGCGTCGTCGTCGCCGTTGTCGTCTGCAGATGGGCCGTTGGCGTGGTGCGTTCTTCTTCCAGCTGCTGGATTCGCCGCTCCAACGAGCGCACGTACTGAAGCGTCTGATCGTTCAGCGTGTGGGCATGACGTAGATCCTGAGAAAAAGTTAAAAAAAAAAAAAGAAAAGTTTTAGTTTCCTGTTTTATGGATTTCTTTCTTATTAGCTTTTACCTGTGGCAGTTGCCGCTGCTCTGCATAGTTCCGTAACGCGGTAATGGTCTCGTCGGCATTGGTACTGGAGCTAGAGCCATCGCCATCATCGCGCAGCGCGTTTCTGGTGGCGGCACCGCATCCAGCGCATAGCGCGTTGGCTGCCACATGAGCTCGTTCCTCGTCCAAATACAGGCAGAGCTCCTTGAGCTCCAAATTATCGGTGATTAGCTCCTGCTGCTTATCATCCAGCTGACGTAGTTTGTTCTGTAAAGAAGAGGTATAAAAATAGATATTATATTTTGGATAATTTACCACCTCCCACACTCACCTGATAGGCAGCCACCTCCTGACGCATCACACTGGCCGTGTACCGCCCGAATCGCTGCCACTCCCTGGCCAGCTTACGGCCCTTTTGCCGATCGTCGTCGAGGAAACAGCACAGATCCCTCAACTCCTGGTTGTCGTCCAGCAGACGCTGGTTCTGCTCCTTCAGTGCCCGCAACTCATTGACCAGCGACTGCAGTTGACGGTTCTGTTCGGCGGTCAACCGGCCACCGCCGTTGGTCGAGGGTATTCCCGTGCCGCTGGACGTGACCGAGGCATTGGGCGATGGATGCTCCTGGTCGGGCTTGCGCACAAACTTCAGCATATCCTGTGCCTGTCCCTGTCCGCCCTTCGCTCCCGTCTGGTGTTGCAGATAGCGAGAATGCTGCTGCTGCTTGATGGAGTCGGGTATGTAGATGCTCGATAGCTGTGGTATATCCGGCGGATACTTGATGGGCAAGTGGGGCTTTAAGATCCCTGTTCCTGGCTGCGGGGGTGGCTGATACCTCGGCGGTATAGAGTGGGCGGGAGCCGGTGTCTTTAGCTGCGGGCTGCGCAGAGTTTGCTGCTGCTGTTGCAACTGGTAGAAGCTGCGACGTTGCTGCGGTGGCTGTTGCTGCTGCTGCTGCTGGCTAGCAAGATTAGGCAATTCTTTAGCCGATTGCTGTTGGATGGGCAGGCGGGAAGTCAATGCCTGATGATGATGCTGCTGCTGCTGCGTTGAGTGCTGCTGGTGTATTGTGGCCACGGTCTGCAATTGGTGTGATTGCTGCTGCTGCTGTTTTTGGGCTGGCGACTGCGCCGCCGGCGTTGGCGTTCCGCTTTGTTGCTGCGTTGAGTGTTGCTGGTGCGGAGTTGGAGCTGCCGCTGCTGATGTTGTTGTCGTTCCTGGTAACAATGAGCGTCTCTGATGGATATGTTGCTGCTGCTGCTGATGTTTGTTAATTGCCTGCGCCGCTGCCTGGGCTTTGCCTATTATTTTGTCAACGCTATTTATTTTTATCAAATTATTGTTTAAAGTGCTTGCTCCGTTTGTAGTTGCTGATGTTGCTGCCGTGTTGGTTAATGACTTTTGCTGTGCTTGCTGTAGTTGTTGTTGTTGCTGCTGCTGCTGTTGTTGATTGCCGGACATTTTTGTGTTGGTTCCTTGTTTGCCTTCGGTGTCGTTTCGGTGTTTTCCTGCCCCGTCGTCGTCGTCGGCCCTCGCCTTAATCTACTCGGTCGGAGTCTACGACCTCAGCGCCATATTGTCAAGTCACTGCAAGATAAACAAAAAATAAAAAAACGGGCAAGGCATTAGCAAAAATATATAGTGGAGGGGAGAAGAGAAAAGAAACTGTAAGTAAACAATAAATCAAGGCATTACTCGGTGTAATTTATGCGACAGACGAGGGCACGCCGCCAGTGTAGCATAATTAAACCTCCATTAGACTGCCGCGAGACGCTGATAGAAAGCGAAATGAGCATTTATCGCGCCACTGGAGCCATGACATGCCACACGAGCCACATACTTACAACGTCCTCGCCACGGAGTGCTCAACAAAATGCAACCAAGCGTCTCCAAAATGTCGCCGGGCACACCGCCAGAAATAGGAGCATGGCACTTGTAAACGTAATATTTGCTCAGATTTATAATATTTAAATTTAATGGGTAAATGCAATGTTAATGTTGTTACAAATATTAGGGCAGGGACTCCATATTTCATGCAAGATATGGTTTTGCTGGCTTTTGTACATTATATTTAAGAAGTAATAACAGGAACTTGAATACTTAATGGACTTATTTTCATAATTGCTTTCTTGAAACAAGTTTAAAATAATTGTAAGTTATAAGTTTTTGTTGGTCCACAGAAATAATTAGCGCGACGTGCGACCTTTTAATGAGCGTTTAAGTTCAAAGAGGTCAAGGTTTACCGTTTATAATTAAATAATCATAATTTGCTCTATTCTTTCATTAACAAAGCTCCCTATTTTCACTCTTTACCTTTTTACAAATATTTTATTATTAAAATACATTTTGCAACGATTTTTTTCCCTGTGTCACATAGGGAATATGTCTTGGATCTCTGGTTTCTGGCCGGGATCGGATCGGTTGGGTGGATGGCGCTGAAGCGTCTAATCGCCAGATGGCGACTCGTGTGCGTTGACTTAAACGGAGGCTTCCGCTTCTGGTTTGGAAACCGAAAGCCCAGCCCGATGCACTGAATCGCATATCGTCGTATTTGAATCTCGAAAGTGAAATTGTTGTTCATGCTTTGATGGATGTGGCAGTTACTCTGGGGCAGGGAAATTGAAATGTTGCAGAGCCTTCGTCGCTTGACATGATTGTGATTATGGTAATTTGGTCTTTCCATTAAGATTGTGTTTTTTTATAGCTTGTAATGGCTTAGTTATTTGTGTTGCATCAAAACGATCTAAACTATTTGAAATTATATATTTTTTATGTGATTCTTTGTATATATTTTTGGCTAAAATATAACAGATATCCTCCCAGTACTCTAAAATGCTAAAACGTTGGAAAAATAATGATAATTTTCAAGGTCTTTTGAAGGGATTCCTACAGGTATCGAATATTTATAGTTTCCTTTAGTTAATTTTTTTATTTTTATGGGATTGTATTAATGGAATGTACCTTATAAAAAAAATATAATAGGAACATTTTACCAAGTTTCTTATACTCAACCCTTTATTAAGCCTTTAGAAATTCCTGTTTAGCATTACAGTCTCCACCATAAGCCATAATAAACCCTCAAGAAAGGGTTTACAACTTCAAACTGCTCTGTAAGTAATCAATTTTATTTTAATTCCGCTAAGCGAACATCTGCATATCAGTTACAGCTCAAGGAACTGGCATATGGCCTAGAACTGAAGGGTCTCTCCCCCTATCCTTTCATTTTTATAGCTATTTAGGCTGTCAACTTGAAGATCCGTGGATTCCCCTTGGAACAAACGAACCATCAGGGCGAGAAAATAATGACAACAGGTGTGAAATGTGAGTTTCCCGCGAAGGAAGAAAGGAATTTACACGCAGCAGACGAAAAAGACAAAAGTTCGACCACCACCACCACCAAGCAACCACTTCCCCAATGCCAAAACCGAAGCCATTCAGATCTTTGGGGCATACAAGAAATTACAGAAGAAACCGGACAAAAATTGCGCAAAATAACAAAAGAATGTGGCGAGGGCCTGGCCGAGGCTGGGCTTTGGCCCTTCATTGTTGCACTCTGATCGGATGGTCGGAGCGGAGTGGGATCTGCTGTGGCATTCTGGAGGGAAAACTTACAAAACACGGCAACAGTTGTAAATCATCGAATTACCTCAAAATAATAGCAATCGCTCTTTGCCCGTTTGGGGGGCCTCAAATTGCCCAAAAGCAAAACGAAAATGCAAAGCGAAAAAAAAGGGAGAAACAGCAGTATCGGAAAAGAAAGGCTAATCGGATTCGGGAAATGTAAAATACTCTAATTTTTACAAAAGATACTTAAAAGAAGTTTTATCTAAACATAAATTCAAAAAAGTTAAAGCCTAAGGGAAAGAATTAATATCTTTTAAATACCTATCAGACTTTGGTTGGTTTAAAAAAGCCAAGTACTCCTTTGAAGGGCATAGAAAACAATGCATTGCAGCAGCAGCAGCAGCAGCTCCTCTCTTCTCTTGGAAGACAACAGAGAGAAGAACGGAGACAGGGGGCGATGTCTTGAGTCACAGCCTCTACAAAAACAAAGACTCTCTGTCCCGTTGGCGTAGTTTTTGGCGACTTGCGAAATGAAGAAACCCTCCAAAAAACTTCGTGTGTCAGTTACGCTTAATGAGCACAAATATTGCTCTCATTGTTGTTGCTGGGTTGCTGGGTCGCTCTGGTGTAGATTTACTGGCTTTGATTGCCAGGCCGTGTGCAAGTTGAAACTTGGATCGACTCTCGGCCTGGGTCTCTTGAGTACCCAGTCCGATTGTGACTCTGACTCTGAGTTTGAGTCTCGGGTCCCCCAGTCGGAAATGCCAATACTTAACCCTCAACAGCCCCTTCGTTTCGAGTACCCCGCTTCTGGTTCCCTTTGTCCCGGTTGGTGAATCTTCCTTTTTTTGTGTTATTTTTGTTTTTTGGCTGAGATCATGAGAAAACGAAGGGGAACAGTAAATGAAAAGCTTTGCGGGTAGCAAATAAAAACGAAGGAATGGAATTAACATTGAAGTTCGATAAAGGAATTCTTAACACTGTCACAATTGAAGAAATTATAAAAGAGATTTACTTTAAATGTGATTAATCAAAGGTTTTAATCCTAAAATTCTGACTTCACAATCAGCAAGATGATTATCTAACCAAACTAGGCTAAAAACATTATAAAAATAAACTATAATATTATCAAGATATATGAATTATTAAATATTGTTTATTAAAATGCAAAGACCTTTTTAACCCTGCTAATTTATAAAAAAAAATCTCCTTGGTACAGTCAAAAACTTGATTTTAAAGGGTACTACCAGAAAAGGCCTTCAATTTGTAGCATATGTGCACAAACTTCGTGTTAACCTTTTCCTTTAGCGAATCGCGTAGAGACCCCTCTTTCCGCCAAATAGCAAATCATCACCTGGTTCCAACTGAAGTGGGCATAAACTCGTAGACGAGGGTAAGGGAGTAATATATACAAAAATAAATAATAAAAGTGAACATTTCGATATGCGTGTATAAAAGCATGTTTGGCCTTCGGCGATGAATGTATGTATGCTCGACGCACTTAAGGCGAAGTATTTATTCCTTTATTTTACCTTTTATAATTTTAATTTTTTTTTACCGCCCACTTATGCGTGAGGGTTTGCCCCCTCTTCCTCTGCCTTTCGCTAATAAACTTTTGATATTGCTAATGGTTGCCATTGTTAAAGTCACAAAAAGCTTAAAAAGAAGGAGAAGGCGGGAATCATAGGCGTTGGCCCGGAGTTTGCTTTTTTGCAAATAACAAATTGCCATAATTAGTGGCATTTTAATTTGAGGTTCCAGCTCACAGTTCGCCCAGTGCCTACAGAAGAAGAACCGTATGTAAATCGGAATTCATAACGAGCCGAGTCTTATTTTCCCCGGGGGCCAATCGCTTCTGCTTCTCAAACAGAAGGGGCAAAGGTGTTGGAGTGCAAAATTATGAAAATTACTCTGTACCTTTCCCATGCTTAGTGGGTGGCTTCTTCACCGTCTGGATGGCTGGGAAAACTCCAACTCCAGATCCTAAGTCGACAATGGACAATAAAAGAAGAGTGGCACACAAAAACTATAATAAGTTTTTAATGGGTCTAGCCATGAATTTATTTGTTATAGATGGCAACTGCCAGATACAAGCTAGTTAATGGAAAAACAAGACAAGGGGTTAAACTGGAAGCTATACACGCAAGTTGGAGAAGTGAATAAGAACCTGGTGTGGTGGGCACATTATGTAAAGGAAGGTGCATATGTATATCAACAGATCATATTTTTTCATATTTTATATAATTTAAAACAAACATGGCTGGGAATTTTAAAAGATATTTAATACAAAATAAAGCCCAGCAATGGTTATGTATTTTCCGAAATAATTTGCACGCAATCAATTTTGCGAAATAATTTTAATTTGCTTTTTAAATGTAATGATTAAGCAACTTTGGACTGAACTTGGCAAGCATACAAAATTGCAGTTGATCACTTTTACATAATCTTTAATAAATAATCACTTTTTGATGTTCGATCATTATTTCTGCAAATGAGCTTCATCAGCTTGATTTTTGCCATTTTTTCTCTCCTTTAAATATCTATCGACGTCGGCATATTTGTTTGGCTTTACGCGATTGCCCAACAGACCGTGAAACAAGTGTTTAATTAAGGAAATGAGCGTAGAGTCAAGTACGCAAACACGCACACGTGCAGGCAGGCAGAAATTAAATAAACCCCAAAAATACAATCAGCGAAAAATAAAACAAAAATTGGTTAATAAATGTAAAACCAAAAAGGGGGAGAAATAAATAAATAAACATGGATGGTTGGATAAATGTATGGCTGGTTGAAAAACGCTCAAAGTCACTCAAGGTTAAGAAATCTCACCATTGAGCGCACGCACACGAATCCAAGCCCTGGCACTGGCACTGGCACCCAAGATTCCAGGCAATGACAGCTTTTTTCGGCTCTTGCCGAGTGATGACAGCCCCGAGTCAGAAACGGAGTCTTAACCCAGAGCACCGAGAAATGTGAAAACCGCAAGTCATGTGGGTTAAGTACACTTACTTAACAACAATTCC